CTAGAGATCTGATACCAACTTGTCACGACCCGGATTTCTCACCATCGGGATCGTGATGGCGCCTACTCGTGGTAACTAGGCAAGCCAACTTATTTACCTTTTTATCACTAAACAATTAATTTAACAATTTATAGCATCAATATAGAACATGAAATTTACTAAGAATAATAGCGGAAGTCTGATTTACAACTCAGAATCAAACGCGGAACAGTTAATAAAAGCCTCTACCCAAGATTTGGTGTCACATCACTCACGAACCACTAAGAATATATTAAATACAAAGGTCTGAAAGAAACATAGGAGTTGTTTGCCTCGAGACAAGGAGGCAACAGTCTAAAAGAGAGCATAAAGAGGAGACGTCGGGCCTGCGGACGCTTGCAAGCTACCTCGGGTCTCTCTGGACTGAAGGAGCGCCCCCGTGCTAATGCTGCAGCTGCTGCTCAATACCTGGACTTGTGCAAAAATGCACAGAGTGTAGCATCAGCACAACCGACCCCATGTGCTGGTAAGTGTCTAGCCTAACCCCGGCGAAGTAGTGACGAGGCTAGACTGGACACCACATAAACCTGTGCAGTTATAAATATACAACGGAAACAAGATACCAAACAACTATAAATATGGGAGGGGGAAACATGTTGTGGGGAGATAACAACAGTAACAGTAAATCCGAAGTAATCAATCTAGGTGCAACTTACAATTTAAAGCGAACAAGAAACTAATACTGACACTAAACACATTTGCATCAATAACTGTTGCGGCGTGCAACCCGATCCACAATTATCACTGTCGCGGCGTGCAACCCGATCCACAATTATAACTGTTGCGGCGTGCAACCCGATCCACATATAACATTGTTGCGGCGTGCAACCCGATCCACAATTATAACTGTTGCGGCGTGCAACCCGATCCACATATAACATTGTTGCGTCGTGCAACCCGAACCATAATGTATACCTCTCAACCTTGCCCAAGCAACAGTCACAAATAAAGGGCAAGGGAGTAAACAAGTATTTGGAAAGAAATCCCAACAAGGGTACACAAACAACTAATGACAACCATGCAAGAGTAAATCGTTATTTCTCTTTTTCTCTCATTTTTATATCCTAACTCTCCTTAGCACTCGTGTCAAGCTCTAAGGCATTCCTCATTTCACACGCTCTCACCATTTGTATTTCAGACCGAGCCAATGCTCCACGAAGTTCTACAATCACAATATCATTCCCAATATATTTACCACGTATAAAAGCCATCAATGACATGGAAGGCACAACAATATCCAAACAACTCACATATAAGGACTCACGGTCATACTAGACCCCAATGTATAGGAACTCGTCACCATGCCTATACACCGTACTCGATCATTTAGCAATTAGCAAACAAGACTCGACTCCTATTCCCTCAAGCTAGGGTTTAACCAAACACTTACCTCAACTTCCACGGCCAATACAATCCTCCACGACCGCTTTCCCTCTCGAATTCAGCTCCAACTCGACCAAATCTATGCAATGAGGACTTCATGATATCAATATGTGCTAAACCAGACCCAATGACTAATTATAGCTTTTTCATCAATTTACCCCAAAAGGTCAAAAAAATGCCCCCGGGCCCACATGGTCAAAACCCGAGGTTCGAACCAAAACCCGTTTACCCATTCCCCCATGAACTCTAATATGTGAGTTATTTTGGAATCGGACCCTAAATTGAGGTCCAAAACCCCCAATTTTAGAAAACCTAGGTTCTACCCTAAATTCTCAATTTCCCTATTAAAAACCTTTGTTTTGAAGTTAAAATTATGTTTAAGGATGTTAAGGAGTAAAGAAAATCAGTTAGAAAACACTTACCAATCATTTTGAAGAAGTGGAATCGTTTGGAAAATCGCCTCCTAATGTTTTGGGTTTTGAAAAAGTGAAAAATGATTGAAAATCCCGACTTTATATACTATGCTGAAGACTGGCACGGACCGCACAAAAATGCACCACGGCCGCGCCGAGGAAGGGAAGAAAATGACTCTCTGAACCTACCCAGCACGGACCGCACTGATTTGGTGCTCGGCCACGCTGGTTGAATGGACCCAAGACCCACTCTCTGAATCTCCCAGCGCGGACCGTACTGATTTGGTGCGCGGCCGCGCTGGCTGTCCTAGACTTTACTGGCCCTCTGAACCTAGCCACACGGACAGCGCAAGAACGCACCGCGACCGCGCGGAAATGACCGCGGCCGCGCTGGGGGCCTGCAACACCTGAACCTGCAATCAACTGATATTTCTAGCCTAAGACCTCCCGGGACCTACTCAAAACTCACCCGAGCCCTCGGGGTTCCAAACCGAACATACATAAAAAAACTCAAAAACATCCTACAGACTCATCCATGCGATCCAATCGCCCAAACAACATCATAATCATCAAATTAGGTCTCAAGACCCAGGATTTCCTTCCAATTTTCATAAAACATCAAGTTTACTGCTTCAAGCTCAAAACACGTCAAATGACGTCCAAATCTTACCAAACTTTACAGAAATTGCTTAAATCATATTTAAGACTTGTGTCGGGCGTCGGAACCAAAATACGAGCCCGACAGTATAGTCTTCAAAACAAGTAACACTTTCAAATTCTTTAATTATTTTCAGAAAACAATTTCACTCAAAAATTTATTTCCCGGACTTGGGACCTCGGAATTTGATTCCGGGCACACACCCAAGTCCCAAAATTTCCTACGGACCCTCCGAGACTGTCGAATCGCGAGTCCTGGCCCGTTTGCCCAAAACGTTGACCAAAGTCAAACCCAATCAATTTAAACATCAAATTTATTATTTTTTTTCTCACAAATTCATATTTAAACATTCCGGCTTCGCGCCCGGACTGCGCACACAAACTCGAGGCAACCCCAAATGAGGTTTTTCGCGGCCTCAGAAGTACAAAGGGAGTAGGAATACAGGTGATGACCCTTTGGGTCGTCACATTTTATTTCTTTATTTTTTTGTCTGAATCTCATGTATTCCGAACTAAGTCTTTTATGGGGGAAGAATTCACTTTTTGTATTATTTTAACTTGTGTATATGGTTATTGGGTCAGGCTCGATTGGGTCATTCCTATTTTAAGGAAAAAATATAAAATTAACCGACCGGTCGAAATTAGTTGCATTTGCTAGAGCCTGGCCTAATAACCATATACACAAGTTAAAATAATACAAAAAGTGAATTTTTCCCGCATAAAATACTTAGTTCGGAATACACGAGAATTTGACAAATAAATGAAGAAATAAAAGGTATAATTGTGTGTGTGTGTGTGTGTGTGTGTGTGTGTGTTATATGTATATAATACACACACATATAAAAATATTTTATCGGCTATTATTTTTGGGAGGGCTAAAAATATACTCATATTCTCCTATTTTAATCGGGTAATTATTTATTAGACTGAAAATAAAAAATAAAAACACGTATAATAAGAAAGAAAATTTGTTTTCCGGCCTCTATGATTTTTATGTGAGTTAGTGAAAGTTTTATGTTTTTTGTGTGAGAAACCAAAGTTATATGACATTGTTATATGATTTTTGTGTGATAAAACAAAGTTATATGACTTTGGTGAAAAAAAGTCATAGTTATATGACCATTTATGAAATTTACCCCGTGCTTAAAAGTCTAAATCATTACCCCTTATACGAGAAGAAAGAAGGAAAAAAAAAAAGAATTTCTCCCATTTCATATATCCTCGTTCTTTTATAATTATACTTTTTATTTTATTTTTTAGTGGGAAAAAAATACTCAAACATTTGATAGATAAACACACATAAAAAAACGAGAAATTACCAGCTATGTCCATTTATAGGTAGCTCATTACAAAAATTGGCCAATTGATAAAATATTACTAATATTAGCCAATTAGCTATTTGTAGCAACAAAAAAAATATCAAATTTTTGCTTTATTTTGAGTGGGTGTTATTAGAATAGATTGGGCACAACTTAAGGGGCTTGAATCTCAGTTTTGGGATGATTTGGTGAAGTTTTGAGGTGGTTTGAATTGAAAATTCGAAGTAAAAGCTGAACATAAAAAAAAATGATATGTGTATCACACTGTGTATCATTTGTGCATCACATATGTATCATATTTGTATCAATTGTGTATCACATGTATATCCATGTATACCTGTGTGTGAGATACATGCGTGATACATGTGTCACTGAAGACTTTTTTGAACTCGATTTAATTATCAATTTTGATACAAAACCAGTCCAAATCACCTCCAATCTTCCTCATTTTGTATATTGACTTATCTATATATTTTCAATGAATTTCAACTATACCCATTGAAAAAGTTCCTTTTTTGTTAGATTTTTGAAATATTTGTATAGATTTTTGTATTTCATCACCTTATTTGCTACCCCGTCCATGAAATTTCTTTTCCATCTTGTATCTAATGTTGCTAATCACACTTAAAAATATGGAAGGTTATTTTTTCATGTGATTCTTTGAGAGAAAGAACCATATTATTTGGTTTTTCAATTTTTGTTGGCTAGTTTTGATAAGTCTATCACTAATGGCTAGAGGTTGGTAAGTTGAGATTTATTTGGAACATTTGTGTAAGTTTAAAAAGAAACTGGTAGAAAAGCCACGGCAAAATTCTTGGTCAAGTGAGGGCCTAAGAGGGCAAAACAAACAGTGACACGGATATGAATGGTTTCCCCTTCCCAAGTTCCAAGCGTATAATATATGAATTTAATATGTATACTCGATTTGAACTTACAAAATTAATGAATTTTAATATAATAAGTAACTCATCCTATTTACAAGTTTGTAATTTTTTAAATAATTACATTTAATTATTATGTAAATAGCTTAAATTATGTAAAATTTAATTTTCGCTGTATAAAAATTAAACTTATATGCACGATTGGTTCGTCGTGCTTATCTTCTTCAAGTTAGTGCCACTCTATTCAAGACATTCATTTGAAACCAACCATATATAGAGAACAAGATAATCTCGAATCTGAGGATAAGGCACGCTGGCAGGACAAATTCAATTGAAAATTTTATTTTCATTATCAAAGTCCCACTATTTGGACAGTCCATTCCATATGCTTGTCGTGCTATATACTTCAATTTCCGACACCTGTACAACTTTCTATGCTAATCTTGTTCTATCTTCATCACCTGTACAAATTCTTTGTATTCCCCTATCATAAGTCCCAAAGTGAAAGTTAACTAAATCCACACATTATCTTTTTATGCATGCCTATTACTTGCTTCCTCAGAATTCAGAAAAACCCCATGTTCCTTTTGCATTATATCTTCTTCTCCGATTTCAAGAATTACTCAAAATGGGGGATGGCATGTTTCAAGATCAATGGTTTAGATGTGGTAGTAATATGGAGGATAAAGATCATTCTTTATGTACGATCACTGAAGGCAATCAAGATCGTTGTGAAACATACAACAATAATAGCCCTTCATCTTCGTCCGTTGTAGAATCAACGATCTCAAATGCATCTTGTTCTTCTTCGCTTGAAACAATGGATGATGCATCCTCATCCACTTCATGTACTTCGTCTTTGTACGATTTATCAAACCTTATGGCGCAATTACCTATCAAGTAAGTGATCTAATTAGTTGAACGATTTTAACTTATATACACTAACCGTATAGAATATTTATACGGTCCGTATGTTTTACCACATGATATGTTAAATAAGTTACCTTATTTTTCATGTTTCTAATTTACTTTTTATGGATGGTTAACTTTAGCCTTTTTAAGTAAACTATACTGTTATTATCTTCTTCTTCTTCTTCTTTTTTTTTTTGTTGCTAATATACTATTATTGTCAGTGTATAAAAGTTACACTCAAATTGAAAAAAGAAAATCCTGTTATGAATTAAAATTATCTATCTCTTAGCTTGTATCATGAGAAGCTTTGTGAATTTGAGGGCTAGCATGTTTAAATATATGAATGCAGGAGAGGGCTTTCCAAGTACTACGAGGGTAAATCAGAGAGTTTTACAAGAGTGACAATTGTAGAAGATCTTCCAAAGAAAGAAACTCCCTATAGTAGGAAAATGAAGGGGTGCAAGAGCTATGGAGCTGGCCTGGATCCTTATTACAAGTCATACACTCTTCCTAAGGCAACCATATTGAAGAAAGCTTCAAGGAGATCATTTTTATCATCTTGTTTTAATAGAAAGGCAAATTCTACTATAAGCAGGAGCAGGTCCCCTCTAATTCCTGTGCAAAGAACCTAGTTTGTTTATTAGATATATATCATCACCTTAGTATATTAACCTTATTCCTTTTAACTAAAAGACAAAAGGGAATTAAGATAGAGACGTTCTGTATATTAACTTTTGAATAATATATTTGCGGCTTTGTGGAAACTGAGTATAGTGAGAGCGAGTGTGAGACATTTATATAACAGGCATCCTTTATAACAACAACAGTTCATTATAACAAATCAAATTTCCTTTAAAATTAATATTTCATGTTATGTTATAATATATACTCTATAATATTATAATAACTAAAAATATTGAAACAAACGAGATAATTATACGGTTGTTTGATTTGACTAGTATAATTTACGAATTTTGTAGACATGTTTGATTTGACTAGTATAATTTACGAATTTTGTAGACATGGCATCATGATTACAAATTCTGACTTGGTAGCCTACTGTGGTTGATGACCTCTCTTCCATCTTTATTCACGAAAGGGCCAAAAAAAACAATGAGACCCTAAAGCATGAAAAATTTTATTTTGTGCCTTACACAACTGACATTAGTTATATCACAATATGGTCCTAGAATTTTATGGACCCAGATGTGTAAGATATGGGTCCATAAATATGTGAGATAAAAAGAGGCCTCACACAACTAGCGCAAGTTGTGTGAGGCACAAAATAAAAGGAAAATTACCAGCTATGTCCATTTATAAGTAGCTCATTACAAAAATTGGCCAATTGATAAAATATTACTAATATTAGCCAATTAGCTATTTGAAGCAAAAAAATATTAAATTTTTACTTTGTTTTGAGTGGGTGTTATTAGAATAGATTGGGCACAACTTAAGGAGCTTGAATCTCAATTTTGGGATGATTTGGTGAAGTTTTGAGGTGGTTTAAATTGAAAATTCGACGTAAAAACTGAAAATGAAAAAAAAGGATATCATTTGTGTATCACATATGTATCATATTTGTATCAATTGTGTATCACATGTATATCCATGTATGCCTATGTGTGTGTGATACATGCGTGATACATGGTTGATACATGTGTCGCAGAAGACTTTTTTGAACTCGATTTAATTATGAATTTTAATACAAAACCAGTCCAAATCACCTTCAATCTTCCTCAAATTTTGTATATTGACTTATCTATATATTTTCAATGAATTTCAACTATACCCGTTGAAAAAATTCCTTTTTTGCTTAGATTTTTGGAATATTGTATATATTTTTGTATTTCATCACCTTATTTGCTACCCCGTCTATGAAATTTCCTTTCCGTCTTGTATCTAATGTTGCTAATCACGCTTAAAAATATGGAAGGTGATTTTTGCATGTGATTCTTTGAAAGAAAGAACCTTATTATTTGGTGTTTTAATTTTTGTTGGCTAGTTTTGGTAAGTTTATGATTAATGGCTAGAGATTGGTAAGTTGAGATTTATTTGGGACATTTTTGTAAGTTTCCCAAAATAAAATCACTCCTAAAACATATATCGTTTTGAGCTGCCTTTAATTCTTCAGATTAGACAGTCTCATTTTAAAACGGAGTCCAGTGATACAAATGGAATTTCATTGGAAAAATGAGCCCAATGATAACACATGGAGTTGGACTACCCACGATTAGAGGTGGCAAAATGGGTAAAACAAAATAAGTAACCACCCATATGATCTGCTAAAGTATGGGTTGGATAATAAACATTTTAAAAACGGATCATATACGAATATTACCCATATTATCCATATTTTAAATGGGTAACCACCAGTTATCCATGGGTAATAAAGTCAAAACCTCCCCCAAAAGCATTTTCGCCCCCTTTTACCCCAAAAGCACACAACAGGAGCAAATGTATAATTCATTAGGAATATTGTTCTGTTGAAATTGATTATAATAAAATGTGTGAATCATGTCAAAAGATAATGGATAATGTTATTGACCAACGTAATTAAAATCTCGTAGTGAATAACTTTTGTTAAGAGTGTTTAGCGCGAAGATATAATTATCTTTTTAACTGAATTTATGAATTTTTATTAATATCACCAACCATTAGTAGTTGGTGGAGATGCAATATTAGCTACGATTTCGAATGAATTAGTATTTGTATTAGAAAATCCATTAAAACATATAATTATTTAATTGCGAACTCAGTAACTAAAACAAGCTACGATTAAGCAGGTTCAGAATCATGGCTCCACCCCTATCAATAATCCTAAGGTTTGTCTAAGGTCGTGTTGTTTTATCTCTTTCAAACTTGCTCGACTTTTATTTTTATTTTACACGAAATTATTAGTGTGTCCTTGAGCCGAGGGTCTTCGAAAACAGTCTTTCTATCTTCACGGGGTAAGGGTAAAGTATGCGCATACACTATCCTTCCCAGACCTCACTCGTGAGATTATACAGGGTATGTTGTTATTGTACCAAATTATTAGTGCAATATTTAAGAAGAAAAAAGAGTAATTAATTGTACTCTTAATTATGTATTGTACTTTTTAGATAGTATTTTCCGTTAATGCGGGGGTTCAATAGTAGAGTGGTATAGGAATGAATTTTATACATGTAGTTGATGGCTGTCAATTGTACCTTCCTCCGTTCTGCTTGATGTTCAACTGGGTCACTGAACAGTTGAGGCTAATGTGAAGCCATGAACGGATAATACGGTTAACCGTTTTATCCGCCGGTTAACCCGTTTTTTATCCGTATTAAATATGATTCGGGTCAAATATTTTACCCGTTTTTTACCCGAACCGCATCCGACCCGATCCGCCCGTTTGCCACTTCTACCCACGATCTTTAGTTAGATCAAGGTGAACAGTGAGGCCCTTCAACACATCATATTGGGCTTGTACATAACGAAATGGTGGGGGCAAGTGCACGGATAGTCATTCTCAAGGATGTTACTTAGAGATTGGCTAGTATTTATTTGTCCTGAAATTTTAAACTAAAAATTTTAACTTGAGGAGAACTCAGGCACTTATGTCTTGAAAAATTAAGCTAAAAAACGGAAATTCAGGACGTATTGCTAATTCCTAAATAGCAGTTGTCACGACCCGCATTTTTCACCCTCGGGAGTCGTGATGGCGCCTATTAGTGAAAGCTAGGTAAGCCAACCAATTGAATTATTTACCTTGTTTCTATTTTAATCCATTAACAATTAAGAACCAACATTTAAGAAACAACAGTATTTAATAAGCGGAAGATTGAAATGCAATGTTTTAATAATGCTACCAATACCAATCCATAACAAAACTACCCAAAACTGGTGTCACAATTTCACAGACTGTCTAAGAATACTACAAATAAAGGTCTGAAAGATTAATACAATGCTGTCTCTGGAATACATGAAAGAAATAGAATGAAAGGATAGAAGGAGACGCCAAGGCCTGCGGACGCCTACAGGACTACCTCGGGTTGCCTGGTGAACTGGAAGCAGCAACCTCACTGCGATCCGAAAACTACAGTATCGAGATCTGCACAAAAGAGTGCAGAGTGTAGTATCAGCACAACCGACTCCATGTGCTGGTAAGTGCCTGGCTTAACCCCGGCGAAGTAGTGATGAAGCTAGGACCAGACTACCAAATAAACCTGTGAAGTTAAATCATATACAGCGGAAAATAAAAGCAGGTGTCCACAGTAAAGGTGGGAGGGGGAAAAACATGTTGCGGGGAGTATCAGATAACAACAGAATATCGAAGAGGAATGTAGAGAAACCAAAATTCAATTGCTAACAAGAATAAGAGAAACAAACACAGTATTCTAACAAGGATAAGAGAAACAAACACAGTATTCACTTTCATCTCTTTCTTGTTGCAGACGTGCAACCCGATCCCATTTCAAATATCTTGTTGCATGCGTGCAACTCGATCCCATTTCATATATCTCGTTGCAGGCATGCAACCCGATCCCATTTCATATTTCTCGTTGCAGGCATGCAACCCGCTCCCATTTCATATATCTTGTTGCAGGCGTTCAACCCGCTCCCATTTCATATATCTCGTTGCAGGCGTGCAACCTGCTCCCATTTCATATATCTTGTTGCAGGCGTACAACCCGCTCCCATTTCATATATCAATATCAATCACAAGGAATCCCGGCAAGGGCACAAGAGTACAACAACAATACCCCGGCAAGGGAGACAATATCGTAAACAATAACATCCCGGCAAGGGAACAAGAGTACAACAACAACATCCCGGCAAGGGAACAAGAGTACAACAACAATATCCCGGCAAGGGAGACAATATCATAAACAATAACATCCCGGCAAGGTAACAAGAGTACAACAATAATATCCCGGCAAGGGAGACAATATCATAAAAAATAACATCCCGGGAAGGGAAGAAGAGTACAACAACAATATCCCGGCAAGGGAGACAATATCATAAACAATAACATCCCGGCAAGGGAACCAACAATGATAATCATCACATTAGGCATGAATAAACCACAACGGAGTCACAACGATTACAATACTAGACTCACGGGCATGCTTGACACCGACGTATAGATACTCGTCACCATGCCTATACGTCGTACTCCACAATTAACACATAGCAAATAAGACACAACTCCTAATCCCTCAAGCTAAGGTTAGACCAAACACTTACCTCGATGCCACGAACACAATTCATGCCTCAACTACCGCTTTACCTCTTGATTCCACCACTAATTCGCTTGTATCTAGGCCACAAGTTACTTAACTATATCAATAAATGCTAAATGAATCAATTCTAGTGCATGAAAATAGATTTGCTAAAGTTTTTCCCAAATAGTCAAAAATCGACTCCGGGCCCATATGGTCAAAACCCGAAGTTCGAACCAAAACCAGATTACCCATTCACCCACGGACTCAAATATATAACTTGTTTTGAAATCGGACCTCAAATCGAGGTCCAAATCAACAAAATTTGAAAAATCTAAATTCTACCCAAAACACCCAATTTTTCCCATGAAAACCTTTGATTTTGAGTTGAGATCATAAAAAAAGATGTTAAAGATTAAAGAAAACGAGTTAGAAATGACTTACAATCGATTTGGAAGAGTAGTTGTCTTTGAAAATCAACCAAAGGTGTTAAGGTTTTGAAAAGGTTGTAAAAATAGTTGAAACCCCGTCTAAAATTCATTTTAGCAGGTCTCTGATGTCGCAATTACGACCAGGAT